CCCCAAGGGTGCTGCAGTCCAAAGCCTTTGACTTGGTCTCATTGTCTCTAAGCAGAGTCAAATCTAATTCAATTTCCCTTTTAAAAATGCTTCTTACCAAGCTCCCAAAGGCCAAAGCTGGAACAGTTTGAGCAACAACGTAATGAGAGTATTGGATTATAACCTATAGAATAAAATAAATATCCATTAGTGCATACTTAGATAAATACACAATTGAATACATCAGGAAATGGGAAAGAAAGGACAGTAGAATTCAATCAATACAAAGAATGAGAGAAATCGAAACTCACAATGAAGCAAACACCACAGTAGCATTTGCTTTGGATATCATCCACCAGTGGACACTAAAATTAGCAGGCCAAAGTTTGAGGAGAAACATGATATTTATAGAATCTCAAAGTGTTTCTCTTAAGAGTATTAATTACAAAGGAATAAATCTTAACTTTGTAGTGAAAAATCTAGCAGATACCACCTTTACCATGTGGTCAAGGTTAATATCACAGTCATAAGATATAGGACATTGGCTGGGCGTGGTGGCTAATGCCTGTAATCTCAGCACTTTGGGAGGCTGAGGCAGGTAGATCATCTAACGTCAGGAGTTAGAGAACAGCTGGCCAACATGGTGAAACTCTATCTCTACTAAAAATAAAAAAATTAGCCAGATGTGGTGGCAGGTGTCTGTAATCCCAGCTATTGGGGAGGCTGAGGCAGGAGAATCACTTGAACCTGGGAGTTGGAGGTTGCAGTGAGCTGAGATTGCACCACCACACTATAGCCCAAGCAGCAGTGCCAGACTCCATCTCAAAAAAAAGAAAAAGATATAGGACATTATGTGCTCCCTGATATGATGCCCTGCAAAGGTGTATTAGTCAGGATTTTCCAGCGAAACCAAACCATTAAGATTTGTTATAAGGAGTTGGCTCACAAAATTACGGAAGCTGACAAGTCCCAAGATGTGGAGGATGAACTGGCAAGCTGGGGACCCAGGAGAGAACAGTGTCCCAGTTTGACAGCAGTCAGGCAGAAGGAAATCTGTCTTTTCCTTACTCAGGAGAGGGTCAGCCTTTTTGTTCTATTCAGGCCTTCAACTGATTGGATGAGGCCCACCCACCTTAGGGAGGACAGTCTGCTTTACACAGTCCACTAGTTCATGTGCTAATCTCATCCAGAGACACCCACACTGACACACTGTGCTATTTTTGCAACATTTCTGTAAATCTAAAATTATTTTAAAATAAAATTTTATAAAAGCTTTGTGCCATCAGGCACTATGAAGACTTTTGAATGATGGGATACTATTGTATTCTTTACATTCATAACTGTCCTGTGTGTGTGTACACACATATAATTTTATGTCTGCCACTCACCATCTTCCACAGATACTAAGTTCCACCTGTATTTTTACAGGCACCTTTAAAAACACTTGGCTTCTGTTCTCTTTTCCCTTTTGCATTCTGTATTCCTTCTTGACCAAAGCATCCTTTTGTAAACTTTCACAGCTCCGCCCTTCTGCTGTTCCATGCGGACTTTATCTCTGAGATGAAGATCTGTGTGGCACACAGTGGAGACTGAGAGCATCAGCCAGAAGTCAGGAGACCTGGTAGCATTCTCCTCCTCCTTCTCTGCTTGCTAACTCAGTGTCTTCCAGTTTTAACATTTTGAGGCCAAATGGCGAATTTTGGCTAAACGTTATGTGCACTATTTGATATGTGTGTTTGAATGATTATATTTTTGTGATTTTCTTCCTTTTTATCAAAGTCCTGTGTGTTCTATTTTTAGGTTTTCCAATTTTTTTTTTTTTTTTTTTGAGACAGAGTCTCACTCTGTCGCCAGGTGCCGGGCTGGAGTGCAGTGGTGTGATCTTGGCTCACTGCAACCTCTGCCTCCCGGGTTCAATCAGTTCTCCTGCGTCAGCCTCCCTCGTAGCTGGGACTACAGGCTCGTGTGCCACCACGCCCAGCTTTGTGTTTTTGTAGAGGCAGGGTTGCACTATGTTGGCCAGGATGGTCTTGAGCTTTTGACCTTATGATCCGCCCGCCTCAGCCTCCCAAAGTGCTGGGATTACAGGCGCGAGCCACCGCACCTCGCCAGTTTTCCAAATTTTTACTCGTATTTATGTTTCACATTTTGCCTTCAAAGTCTTTGGAGTCTGCAACAGACTTCAACATTTACAGACATTACTCTGGCATTTCCCTTAGAGTCCTTTTGAGTAATTCAAGGACAGCAATGTTTTCTTTTTTCCTTCTCTCTGAGGCTGTATGTAGCTCTTCTCACAATGATCCTGAAGCCCTCTCGTGGCTTCCAGTGTGTGGGTAGTCCTGTGTTTGGTTTGAATGGGTTGAGCCCTGGCATAATCCCATAGGGAGGACTGTTTGGCCACCTGGCCAACATCCCCCTCCTGCCCTAGCAGGGTAGCAGGAAAGCTCCTGTGCAGTTTCCCTCTGCCTACCTGCATTCACTTAATGCCAGCAGGGGTGCAGTGGAGTCATGGTGTCAGCAGGATGCACGCTTCCTAAGTAACACTTTAGGAGTTACTTCTTATGCTGTCTAGTTTTTGTTATTATTTTTGTTCAGGTAGTACTTTCTCTGGATTTTTCCCCCAGTATTTGGAATAAGACTCAAATGATGGAGAAGTCGGTTGGCAATGGGAAATAGCTGAGGGCTCTAATGTGAATGACTTGATTGTCCTCACCAGAAAAGGAAATTTGGTTAGGTTCAGCATATTGCCCTAGTATAGGGTATTCCTTGGTCCTTACGGCATATATAGGAGAAATGATTTTTAAAAATCACTTCCCCCTTCATTTGTGCTGTAACAATTGTTAACCTGTGTTCCTTCCTCCAGCCATTTCCCCTCCTGTCTTTCCTCTGCATTGTCATAAGATACTCAATTTCCTCAGCTTGTCACTCAAGAATGGTGAAAGGGGTAGTTATTCCTAGAGTTCAGCATGTAGAACCAGGCCACGCATGTAGTAAATGTGGTATAAGGGCCTGCTAAATAAAAACAAGAATTGACCCTTACCTTCAGAGAGCTAACAACATAGCTGGAAAGATAAAATGCACACAGATACACACAGACACAGACACACACACACACACACACACACACACACACACACACACACACACAGTGCATAGAGCATTATGGGAAAAATTTCACTCAAGAAGCCTAAGAGAGAAGAGGCAGGAAATATCTGCTGTGTGCTTTGCTCAAGGTGCCCCCATTTCTCTCTTCATTTTGTAGTCCAGAAGGTTACTAGGCATTAAATGCCTTCAAGTCCTATAAGGTTGTGTGTGCAGAGGGAGAGCTAAACCCAGGATTGTGTGAACTGAAAGCTCCTGTTGCCACCAGAAAGCTTTGAAAGCAGGCTGGAGCTGGACCTTGAAGGATGGATAGAATTGATTAGAGAGAGGTGGTGAGCAGATATGAGTTGTGGGGGTAGAGAAAGGGTGGGCATACATGAGCAGAGGTGTAGCAGTGGGAGGCATAAAGTGTGATGGGGAAAAGGGGTGGTCCCCAGGTTTGCTAGGGTAAGGGAGGAATGAAGGATAAAGCTGGAATGTGGGCTGGAGGCAACCTGTAATACACTTTAAGTTTGAAGTTGAGTTTGGACTTCATTTCATAACTCATTTCAAAAGCCATGGAAGGTGTTTGAAAGGGAGTGACATGATAAAGAGTGTCTTAGGGCTGGGCATGGTGGCTCACACCTGTAACCTCAAGCAGTTTGGGAGGCCGAGGCAGGCAGATCAGTTGAGGTCAGGAGTTTGAGATCAGCTTGGCCAAAACATGGTGAAACCCAATCTGTACTAAAAATACAAGAGTTAGCCAGGCGTAGTGGTGGGCACCTGTGATCCCAGCTACTCGGGAGGCTGAGGCAGGAGAGTCACTTGAACCCAGGAGGTGGAGGTTGCAGTGAGCTAAGATCATGCCACTGCGTTCTAGCCTGGGCAACAGAGAGAGACTCCACCTCAAAAAAAAAAAAAAAAAAAAAAAAAAGACCTAGGAAGTTAATAGGGTCAGGTGGGATGTGGAAAGGACTAGAGAAAGGGAGGGGCTGTCATGAGTGTTAATGTACATTATGTCATTTAATCCTCACAATAATCCAAAGAAATAGACACTCTTAGTTTCATCCCCATTTCCAGACGGGAAAACTGAGGCTGTAGAGGTTACATGATGACCAGATTCCCACAGTGAATAATGGTGATGCCAGGATGTGAACTAAGCAGATCTGTCTCCTCCAGTGCTTCCTCTGTATGCAGCAGTATCTGACAGTAGCCTGGGAGATGACTTGGGTCAGTTGTAATAGGTTGAGTGTGATAGTCTGGTGACAGGGCCTGGATGAAGTCAGTGGTGTGAAAATGGAGAGATGGGAGCAGCAGTGTGAAACATCCTTTCATAGGAACCTGATGCCAGGACTGAGCCTATGACCTCATAGCTTCTCTTTACTTAGTGTTTTCCATGGAAGCCGGTCCTCAGAGGTGAGAATCTTGCCAGGACCATGTGGTGTCATGGGAACTCCCACCTCCAAACCTCTTAAGCTTAGGCTTCTTGTTTTTCCCGGGGAAATGTATTTAAATTAATAATGTTAGTGCTGATGTTGGCTGTGCTTGGTTTGGGTTACTTTTGAGATGGTTTAAGCAAACTTCCAGGTGTTCTCAAGCATCACAGGCTTTACTTAACTAGAGTTTGAGACAAGAAGTTTCCCCAGAGGTCTAGTGGTGATTATTTCTCCCCTTTTTCCGTGAATGTCCTCCCTCAACTGCTTATTTTGATATGTTCCCTGTGTTGCTATCCTATGGGTTGATGTATCACATAATTGCTTAATTCATTTTACTTTTGTTTTATTTTATTTTTTTAAGAAAAAGGGTATGCATGCATTTCGACTCTGCAAAGCTTTTTGGCATTCAGTTAAAGAATGTATAATAGAGTATGCTAAATGCCATTGCGATAATGCAGGGCAGTGTGGACCAGCCCAGTGACTTCTCTGCTTTATCTACCACAGGTGATAAGAAGTACATCATGGGGCCCAAGCTTTCCACTCTTGACGCCACTGTCTTCGGACACTTGGCACAGGCAATGTGGACCTTACCAGGGACAAGACCCGAGCGGCTGATCAAAGGCAAGCCCTACACACCTCTTCAGGTTTTGGGGCTTCCCGGGGGTGGGTGGGCAGTGGGGTAGCACAGTGGAGCATTCTAGGCCAATGCTTTGATCTTGGCTGTGCTTTATGGAGACACCAGGCTGTGGTGTACAGGCTAGCGTTGGTTCTTTGTACTCAGGACACTTTGGCGTGGAAGAGAGACTGTGCTTCTCACTTGCTGTCTTGCCTAGACTATGTACTTAGCAATGTTGACACAGATCTGCCATGTTTTTATGCTAACAGTTTTATTCTATCTGCTTACATAGTGGACCTAAGATTTGTTGCTGAAATAGGGCTTGAATTCCATGTAGTGCCCTTGGTTTGCTGGTATTCATTAATTTCCTTTGGGCAATGGGGGCTCCCCACTTTCTGATGTATTTTTGCCTTACTGTAGGTTAATGTAAGTGTTCTGAGCATGTTTAAAGCAGGCTAAACTAATGTATGATGTTTGGCAGGTTAGGGGTATTAAATGCATTTTGGACTTTATATATATATATATATATAAACATATATATTTTTTAATGGGGTCTTGCTCTGTTGCTTGGGCTAGAGTGAAGTGGCATGATTATAGCTTACTGTAACCTAAAACTCCTGGGCTCAAGTAATCCTCCTATCTCAGCCTACTGAGTAGCTGGGACTTCATGAGTAAGTCACCATGTCCAGCTAATTAAAAAAATTTTTTTAAATAAATGAGATCTTCCTGTATTGCCCAGGCTGGTCTTGGCATCCTGGCCTCAAGTGATCCTTCTGCTTCAGCCTCCCAAGTTGCTGAGATTACAGGTATGAACCACTGTGCCCAGCTGACTTAATGATAGTTTTAGCTTTTGATGGGTTTATAGGGATATAGTCCTATTTAAGTCAAGCAGCATCTGTATGTGGCAGCCAGGGCCTCTGGGATAGGCTTCCCCTGCATAGCTGGGTAGGAACTGTTTGAAGGAGTACCCAAGCAAGTGCCTGGGGGCCAGAGATGTGGGGATCAAAGTTCAATATTTAGATTTCAGGAAGGGTATTGACAAGAATTAATCAAAATATTTATGCCCAACTGAGCAGGCTGGATATGTAGGCAGGAGACCAGTAGAATAGCACATAGAATGCTCTTAATAAATGTTGAATGGATAACTGGATGGGTGGATGGATGGATGGATGGATAGATAAATGGATGGACAGATGGATGGGTGAATGGGTGGCTCAATGGATAGATGGATGGATGGAACCAAGCAAGGCAGAATCATATAAGAAACTGAGGCAGGCAAGCAGTCATGTATGGTGGTCATGCTAGATGTGTGGGGAGGTAGTGGAGCCTGCAGCTCTGTGTGTCTGTGTGTGTATATATGTGTGTGTGTCGATTCATGTGCATGCCCAAGAGGTTGAACTAGGCTGAAGCCAGCAGCACTCACTCTCCAGATCCTTTTATTAGTGGGGATGGGGCTCCAGATACCTTATCAGGCTTGGTTGGAATGGGTCAGGCATTGATCGAAGGTCTTCTGGAAGTTCAACTGAGTGGGACTAGGGATCGTATGGACTGTCATTTAATTTCCTAAGTGGTCATTATGAGGATGTTCCTTGTTTTGCAATATATTGTTATTTCTCTAAATTAAGTATGTTATCACATTGGTGAGGTTTGTGGCATTTAAAATATTAGTTTCCCTTAATTTTAATCATATTTTTCCATAGTGGGCTTAAAGATATTTATTCCTTGTAGTTCATTTAGGGCTGTGTTTTATGTTCGTTCTTTATTCCTGTTATTTCCTACTCTATTCCCCCCATTCTCCCACTATACCATCCTTACACACCCCCATGTACACACCCACCCACATCTACTCAAATGCTCTGTACACCCCCCCACACACACTCACTTGTACAGATATGCCTACACTTCTACCCAAACACATCCCTAAATATGCAAGTATGCACACACACACACTATTGTGGTCACCTGTTATTTAGTCTGAAGTATTTAGGGACCCATTATCAGTAGAACTCACAGACTGTATAGAATTCCTTCTTTCAGAAACGATGCATTTTTTTGTTTATGATTTGGCCATTTTCTCTATTACTTCCTGAAAGGACTTGAGGCATTTAGTGTTTTTTTTTTTTTTTAAGGAAATAAATGATCAGCCTTTTTGGAGGATTGATTTTGGGCCTCATGCACATCTGGGGAATCTGACACCATTGTCTGCAAGGGGCTTTTGGCGCATAGTTGCATGTACTTTGATTCTTAAAGTAGCTTCCAGCTTTCCCTGAGTACTGGTGTAGCATGAATTATTAAAGTCCACAGGAATCTCTAAATCCCATTTTAGGCATTAGCTTCATACCCCTTCTAAGTCTTTGGATTGGAGCTGATAACATGCAGCCAAACTACTCCTGCTGTAATTTGTTCTCAACTTCTTTCCCTGCCTATGCTGTCTCTGTGATAGAGACTCTCTCAAGAAGTAACGTGAGAAGGGTTAAGTAGAAACAACGAGGAGCCTGGAGATTTTAGAGCTGGCTGAAACCTAGGGGTGTGAATGGCTTGGATTCAGGCAGTTTTCTGCCTTAGCATTGGAATGGCAGAAGCACCACTAGGACTTGCCTTATTGTGAGTGTGTTTGGATGAATATTAGTTTTTTGGTCCAATGTATTATTTACAAAGCCACACAGCTACTTTTGGAACCATGTAGAATAGTGTGAAATTTTCCTTCATTTAGATGAGCAGAAGGACAGGCTTGTTGTTTTTTTTGAGATGGAGTCTTGCTTTGTCACCCCAGGCTGGAGTGCAGTGGCGTGATCTTAGCTTACTGCAACCTCTACCTCCTGATTCAAGCGATTCTCCTGCCTCAGCCCCCTGAGTAGCTGGGATTACAGCAGTGTGCCACTATGGCTGGCTAATTTTTGTATTTTTGGTAGAGATGGTGTTTCACCATGTTGGTCAGGCTGGTGTCGAATTCCAAGGACAGGCTTTGAATATACATATGTATCTTATATCTATCTGGATACAGATATAAATATGAATAATAATTTGCTTACTGGAGAAAATTTAGAAAATACAGAAAAGTTTTAAAAGAATAAAAAATAACTTGTGACACCATCTTTCACAGAGAATGATTTCTGATATTGTGGTATGTAGCAGATCTTTTATCAAATATAAGTATATATATATATATTTAGATTGGGACCATAATGTTGATACAATTATAACCTAAAGTTTTAAAATTAACTGTGTATTTTGGCCATTTCCCTTGTCATGAAATAGTCTTCAAAATGGTATTTTTAGTAGTTGCATAATATCCTGTCCTATGGCTACATGGTAATTTATGTGACTAATCTATTTCTGGACTTGTGGGTTGTTTTAAATAACTTTTACTAATATTCTATAGTGAATGTTGTTATAAATATATACTCTTGCTCATCTCTGGTTATTTCCTTAGGCTAAATTTCTTGTTCGGTAATTACTCTCTCAAAGGGCATAAGCTCTTGGTCTCCATGGCTAAATTGCTTTCTAGTAAGATTATACAATATATATTCTCATGAGCAAAGTGTGAAAGTACTTCCAATTTTTGTCCCTTGATTGGGGTTGAATATAACTTATTTTGAATTTTTTGCCATTTTGATACTAAAAATCTCAGTTTTATGATTAGCAACATTCTTAATATGGAGTCAGATTTGATATTTTAATCAGGGCTCTTAGAGAACGGCATGTGGATTGAGACACTCCTTAAAACAGATGTGGAGAGCTTAAGAAAGCTGAGAAAAGTGAAACTGAAGCCATGATGGGTCAAGAGCTCTGTGGTGTGTTTGCCTGTGTCCTGCAGAGTCCTATGAAAACCACAGACCTTAACGTGATTTTCTGAATTAGGAGGAGCACAACCTTCTGTGCTCTAGGAAAAACCTCATTCAGCAATTTTTACCAGCAGTTATTTATTGTACTTAAATGTCTTTTTTACTTATTTCTTGATAGATTAAAAAGTAGAAGAAAATGCTGCTTCTTCTTGACCGCATGTAAATATCTCCTCACTCCTGTACTCTTACTGTTCTCCATCTGGAGGGAAGTGTTCAGGAAGAGGTTGTTGTGAGGGGATTTGGGTTTCAGGAAAGGGCTGGATCAAGTTACCTTGGCTGGTCTTAGTATTTGGAGATCTTTGAGTTAATATTTTTTAGCTTCAAGGAGACAAGGCAAAGGGGATATTTTCACTAGAGTATTCAAGTATTTTGGGAACTTTTCTGAAGAGGATATGTGCTCAGTGTCCTCTTTGCATGCATGACAGATGCTAAAAGGAGCAAACAAGAGTGTAGTCAGTGCCCAGCATGGATCTGAAACAGGGAGGTGCTGAGTAAATACGTGTAGAGCAAATGTGTATGTTTGGATGTTGGCCTGTGTTTTCCAAGTTATTTGCTGGTTTGTGACCAAGGGCTGGCAGTGCTGCTGGGAGACATTGGCAGGCTTCTCTCTCATCTGCATTCCTGCCTTGAGTGATTGGCAGCTGGGAGAAGCTTAGTTCTGGATTCTGGGTTTGGTTGACAATGTTTTTGGCATCAAATTGTATAAAATGTTTTGATTATTAGAGACATTAGAGGATATAGGAATATAAAACTGTCACTTTTTTCAAAGAGCAGGGAGGGTATTTCCATTTGAGAAACTGTAAGAGAAAAGTTCTTTGTTCTATCTGGGATTATCTTCTGGGTAGACGACCACTTGGCTTTCTGATAAATATGCTCTCAAGTTGTCAGAATATCACTGTGTTTATTACCAATTTATTTTATTGAATTTTTAGATTTGAAAAGTAATACGTGATTGTTACAGTAAGTTGAATTACAAAGGCATAGTTTAAAAAACTTATGACCTTCTCTTCATCCATGTCCAATATTATTTCTATAGAATAATCAATATAAGGATTGAATGTAAATCTTTTTGTGCCTTTTTTATGCACAGATTTACATATGCATATATAGGTGTTTTGGTTTGCTTTTACTTTTTAAAAACTGAACAATGGAATTATACGCATTATCCATAACTTGTTTTTTTTCACTTAACAGAACATCATATCATTTTAATAGCCTCACAATATTCTATAGCATAGATGCACCTTAATTTATTCAATCAATACCTATTGATGGACATTCAGTCTGTTTCCATCATTTTCTTTCTTCTTCTTTTTTTTTTTTGGCTTAAAAAAGCTTCATTTGGTATTCATGTACATATATCTTTACATACCACTGCTTTCATTATAGTTGAGTAGAGTACTAAAAGTGAAATCCTGGGCCATGAGATATGCACATTTAAAATTTCGATAGATAACATCAGATTGCTTTCCAAAAAAGGTTGTAGCAGTGTATACCTCTGCCAGCCACATATTCCCGTGCCTGACTGTCCACATCCTCATCAGCGTTGGACATTATCAGACTTCTTTAAACCAATGTTACTACCTGATTGTTGAGTACACTTTGAAGACATGCAGTTTTTCTATTATTTTGCAAAGTTTATGTCTTCTATATAGGCTTTTTTTTTTTTTAAAGATAGAATGTCACTCTGTCTCCCACGCTGGAGTGCAGAGGCAAGATCTCAGCTCATACTGCAGTCTTCGCCTCCTGGGATCAAGTGATTCTCCTGCCTCAGCCTCCCAAGTAGCTGGGAATACAGGCACCTGCCACCACACCTGGCTGATTTTTGTATTTTTTTAGTAGAGAGGGGGTTTTGTCATGTTGGCCAGGGTGGTCTCAAACTCCAGGCCTCAGATGATCTGCCCACCTCAGCCTTCCAGAGTGCTGGGATTACAGGCATGAGCCACTGCACCTGGCCTGTATAGGCATTTTTATTAACACAGGTTTATGTCTCTCTCTCTCTCTCTCTTGCACGCGTGCGCGTGCACACACACACACACACACACACACACACACACAGATACTCCACACAACCTGTTTCTGCTGCCACCTTTTTCTGTTCTTTTGTCCAATAGCATGTTAAGTCTCTCAGCTGATGGAGAACTTAGGCACAGGAAGGTATAGGCAAAGCCAGAAGAAGATAAAACCCAACTACAGATGTCCACTCTGTTTCACTCTTTATCACGGGCAGGAACTGAGGAATATTTGGGCTCCCAGCTCTTGCTCATCAAAGCAAACCCTTTCTCAACTACATGTTGGAATGTTCACCTCTTTCATGACAGCACATTGCCATTAGGGGAGGCACCTCTCCCCTCACAAATCTTGAGACCTCAAGAATAATTACAGAAAAATATTCCATGACAGGTAGTGCACTACTAATCCCAGGCCATGCTGTCAGCTCATCAGTAGAGAGTTGAGAGTTGAGTGGAGGTGAAGGGCATGAGGACTAAGGAGGTTAATATGAATTCAACAGGTGAGTGAAGCACTTTAAGTACCTGGCACACAGTCAGGACTATATTACAGTTTGCTATTATAGTTACTAATTTTTATTATTGCATACTGAAGTGGTATTAACATGGTTACAGAGCAGGCAACTTTTCTGGAGAAAGGTGAAGAAACAAGGCTGTAGAAAGAAAAGCTATGTAAGAAGTGACAGTCATAGAGCCTGTGGGTCTTGTGAATAGATTCTGATTTTCTGTAGGAAAAGCTAGTAAAGAATGGATTTGATTGAGTCAAACAGGGCTGGCCCCAGGTACTACTGTGAAGTGACTGTATTTCGTCTTTGACGTCTCTTTACCTCCTCAATTAGACCTTTTTTTCCCTCTTGTTGCTGCCTTCACATCTTTATTCAGTTCTTGGTTCCCCGGGATAGGCAGCAATACCTGGAGAGGTGTTTCATGACTGTCCTCATGACGGAGAAAATAAGAAAAGGTTATCCATGCTGCATTTCCTCAAAAGGAGCAATGGTACTGACTTTTCACTTTCTGGCTCCTGAGCATGTGCACAAATATCTTCTGAAAGAGAATAGACTTTTACATAGTGAGGGTTGAGCTGTTATAATCTGAGAAGACTGGAAATGGTGACCTGGAACCAGTACAAGTCTATGGGATCCATGAAGCAGGGGGATTTACTTTGTTATGTTTTGCAGGGGATGTAAGCAAGTTTTGAAAAATTTTAATAACATGGGAAAATGTACAATAATGTTACAGGAGATAACATGTAATAATAATGGCAATACATACATAGAAAAATACTGAAATAAGTTACACCAAATGGTAATTGTGATTATCTTGGATTGATGAAATCATGGATACTTTTAATTTTCTTCTTTATGTATTTGTACAGTTTCTCTATACAGACTAATTCTAATTTTCCGAAATGAGAATATGTTATTTTCCTTAATAGAAAAATGAAATTGAGTAGTGACAAACTATAATCAACAAATCCATTAATATGGAAACAACCTAAATGACCTGTGATGGGGATTGGTAAAGACGAAATGAAGCCATATAACATAGTGTGCAGTTATCACTGTGGTAAGAGTATGAAGTTCAGAGGTTTTTATTATATGTTATTAAGTGAATAGTAGGATAGGAAAAAGAATATATAGTAAATCCTATATAGCACATGTAAATACATGTAAATCTGTACATTTCTGGAGAACAGAAATGAAAATGTTATTGTGGGGAATGGGATTATTGGTAATGCTTTTAGTTTTTGCTTATCTGTTATTACTAATTTTCAACACTGAAGCATGGATTATTTACACAATATGTGAATGTTTATATAACTTAAAAAAATCCAAAGATATTCTTAGAGTAATAATGTCCTCTAACAGATAGTAGCAAATCATATATTTATAAGCAATGTTGCCATCTGCTGGATCAAAAGGGGAAACCTCACCCTCTTTCTTTGTTTTTCATTTGGAATTAGGAAATGAAGGCCAGATATAGTGTCACATTTCAGACAAATGCCAAGACAGTAACAGTGACTTAACACAAGAGTTTCTTTGATTCACATGAAAAAGAAGTATAGATCAGTGACTGAGTGGGACCTGGACCCTGGGCACTACTGTTTAATTTCATATAAAAATTAAAAAATATCTTATACTAAGTGTGTTTGCAGGCACACTTATCCATAAAGACAATTCTGAGTTATCTATTTAATGGATTTTTTTTGGGCAGAAAAGTTTATATCCCAACATAACTTTCTGAAACTATTTGGCATAGTACTCAGCCCATAGTACACTGCAAAAATTTGTGGAGTAAATGATGACTTCTGGCTGACTTAATGCAACCAGCAGTTGATATGTTTTCATGGAATATAAATTAATTTATATATGAACCAATCAAAGCATTAGTTTTTTTCATATGGAAACATAAAATAATAAAATGCTTCATAAAGCCAAATGATGGTAGTTTATCTGCCGTTTTTGATAAACTACCCCACCACTTATCATTGTCGGACTCATTTCTTCATTTCATTCAGCCCACTCACTGAATTTAGCTTTTCTCACTTACTGTTTTTATTATGTGCTTAAAAACCTAAATATTTCCACAGTATCTCTATGGAAAAATACTGTTAATGGTTACCTTGCCTCATTATTCCAGTTTTCCAGAAAGCCCAGTGGCTGGATGTCTTAGTCTGGGCCTCTGTCACAGAATGCTGTAAGCTAGGTTTCTGGTAAACAACAGGAATGTATTTCTCACAGTTGTGGAGTCTGGGAAATCCAGGATCATAGTGGGAAGTGCAGGATTATGATGCTGACCAATTCAGGATCTGGCTCTGGTGAGGGCCTGCCTGCTGGGCCTGCTTCCTGGCTTCCTGCACCTGGGCGCAGTGCTGTCTCGCTGTGTCCTCACATGGTAAAAGGGGGAAGGCAGCTCTCTCTGGCCTCTGTGTTGAGGGCACTTGGTTCTCATGACCTAACCCCCTCATAAAGGCCGCACCTCCTAAGACCATCACATTGGAAGTTAGAATTTCAACACTGGAATTTTGGGGAACACAGATCATAGCAGTGGTAGACTGCTGCCTTTGAGAACTAACCTTTGCTTTCCTTACCACACTGCAGGTGAGCTGATCAACCTTGCCATGTACTGTGAGAGGATAAGGAGGAAATTCTGGCCAGAGTGGCACCATGATGACGACAATACCATCTATGAGTCTGAGGAGAGCAGCGAAGGCAGCAAAACCCACACCCCGCTGCTCGACTTTAGCTTTTACTCAAGGACAGAGACCTTTGAAGATGAGGGAGCAGAAAACAGTTTTTCCAGAACCCCAGACACGGATTTTACCGGACACTCACTATTTGATTCGGATGTGGACATGGATGACTATACAGACCACGAACAGTGCAAGTGATGTCCAGCCTCACGGACCCTCTTCCTTGGGATCTGCCATTCCCTGGGTCAGTCCATTTTCCCAGGTAGCATTCCATCCGAGCTGGGAGGAGATCTTCGTGCTTGGCACAGTTTTCACATGCTAAGTGGACTACAGCAGCCTTATTTCTTTTTTGTACAAACAAAACACAGAACCATTCAGATGACTTCATTTAAAACAAACAGGCAAAAAATAATAATAATAATAATAATAATAATAATGTCAGCATGGTTCCTGAAATCCATTTTTGTTTTCATTAGAAAACTATTAATAATATTGTGTGGTAGAGCAGGTATAAGAGCAGGTTGCCAGCTGATAGTGTTTATGATGATCCTCTTCATCCTGAGGTCTTAGTTGTGAGATGGATTCTTGAACCTCCTTTATCCACCAGGATTTGAAGTAATGAGTGATATCATCAGAAAAAATGTAGGAGATAAATGTTTTCTGGTGGCTGCTTGTACTTTATGTGTGTATATTGTATGTTGAGTTGTAAGTCAAATAAAATCCACAGATATTCAACAAACACCTACTATGTGCAAAGCACTGTGCTAGGTGCTAATCAGTATATGTTTTATTCTAAGCCCTGCCAGTGACTAGCTGTGTGATTTTGAGCAAATCTCTTATTAACTAATGTGTGCCTCATTTCTCCCACCTGCAAAGTGGGGATGACAATACTCTCCACCTACCTACCTCACAGGGGTGTTGTGGGGATTCATGTGATAACATTCGTTTGGGCACTTTAAACCTCTGGGAAGTGGTGCAACATAAACACAGCATTTTATTCTATATTGCACTTCATGCATGTGAAGATTTGAGGGCAAAGGAATTCCATATCCAGGCAACCACTACCACAGTCACTTGCAAAAGCTGAGCAGATGAAATGCACACAAAGGTACACTTAGGACTTTGTCATCAGTCATTTCTGTGATCTTGGTTGAATCAAAATCTTTTGTTCAAAGAACATTGGACATGTTTTTAAAAATTATCGACAGCTACAAACAGTTTTCAATTCTATTGTGTATTTGCAGAAAAGTGGTTCTTTCATTGCCTGAACTCATGCATGTTCTGTGTTGACTCTGGAGTGTTAAGTTGCCTGTGTTTGATTTATTTGAGGAGAGTAAGTCTCAGGAATACAGTGGGTTTCATAGAGGTGAAGGGGAAAGTATTTGATTGATTTTTGTAAGCAGAGGCTTGCAAACTTGTAATGTCTTTTTGAAAACAAACCTTGCAGAGATGTATTGAAAAGATGAAGTAGCAAGATGATACTTGTACCAAAGCACTCTGTTCAGTGATAGACTATACGCGGTTTTATTAATGCAACTTATCTGGTGTTTTTGGCCACTGCCCAGTGAGAGGAGAGCAATCCTGAGAACAAGTCTTAATGTTTTTCCTGTGTCTTCCCCGTTCTCTCTTTCTCTATAGTATCCTATGAACTGTTGGCTTACCCATGTTTGTGAAGTCACCATATTTCCAAAGGTTTTTTTTTTTTTTTGACATAGGACATTTTCCAGTGAAATATGAGGCAAAGATCCTGAGTGATGGTTGTTGATTTGGCCTAGGAGAGCCAGTGTTAAGAGTTTACAATTGCAAATGAAACTGCTTTGCTTCTGACCAACATAAGGATTGTTCATTATGGGGTTAAAGAGGCATGTTTTAAAGGCAACTTCTGAGAAATCCATGTACTTTACTTGAAAAAAAAAAAAAACCTCTTTTTGAATATAGCATTTGCAAAATCATCTTAAAAGACTGCTGTGGATTCACAAAGAGGTAAAGGGAGAAGAATTTTTGAGGCTGTTTACTTACCTCTTAAGCAACTGTGTAGGGCATATGTACCTAGGAATACATGCTGAGATACCCCAAGTTAGAAATTCTTATTCCACCAGAAACTTAGTTGTTAAAATCTTATTATAAGGGTTTTAATAAAACCCTTCATATTTAAAGGGACTGTTTGATGCCTAATAAGAATGTGGTGGAGAAGATATGAGTGGATAAGCCTGTTTTGAGGCTCCAGCATCGTTTGGGAGGACTGTTTGCCTCCCCTGTCTCTAGCGAGTGTGTGTTAAGGCCAACTTGTGGCACTTCTGTATGATTAGGGAGACTTCTGGACTAAAAATATGAATATAATGAACAGGTGAACTGTAGACCTGTATCCACAAAGCGTGGGTTGTCTTTTCCCCACCACATTTCAGATGAAAAGAAATGTATTTGAATTTTTTTCTGTAAAAAATTTATTCTTACTGTACAGTACCAAGTGTGATGTATTTTCTCTCAAAGGCTGATCAAGTTATGAGAATGTAGATTCATATATGTTTTTAATTTTGTATTACTTGGAATACAAGTATGTGGAGAACCAACTTTGAAAATGAAGTTGTAAAATAAGTCATTCCATCCAGGTACCTCCTACAGGGGCATGAATGGACATTGCTACCTGGAGTCTTGGGCACTTGCTTGACAGCATATGACTGGGCACTCAACATTTTGTAGGTGTTAATTTCGATCCCTGGAATATATGCCCTAGCTTTACTTTCCCAAGGTGGGTTATGCAAACAAAATAACCAAGACAAAGTCACCATGGTGTGGATCTTTAACTGGAAGGCTTTGATTTCATGTGACTCATTCTTAAGCTACCCAGATTTGAAATATTCTCCAATTTCATGAACAGGTGCTAATTATAAGAAAAAACAATAAGAAGTTAAGGGACATTTTGGTCATCTGGCTTCTTGTTTAAGTTCTGTGTTTCCTTTTTGCTGGGAGGTAACTTGAAGTATGTGATCTTTAATATTAACAGATATTTTTGGTTGGACAAAAGACATGGGCTATTTGTTCTTTTTTACCTCTCATTGTAAAAGTAAATCAAGCTCTTGTATCCACCTCTCTTTGCCCACTTGCACCCGCCCTCATCAAGATGAATAAGCAGAATCAATATGCTTTACTATCCATCAGAACAGATATAAGGACAATATATATTTATGTAAAAATGAACTATATTGTCAGCATTTAGCATTTTGCTGTTGTTACATAATGAATTGTGGAAAGTGATACCACCGAGGCTGTGGGCTATCCAGAAGACTGATCTGAGACTTGGAACAACTTGGACTTGAATCACAACTGCAGTCACATCCTCAAGTGAGCCCTGGCCATGTATACTGAGGCATTAGGGTATGTTTTTGTGAAACAGTTAGGGTTCAATGAACAGACATACTAAGGAGTTTCACCTCATTGGTCTTGCTTAGATTTGTTTGAGAGAAACTGTAGAGTCGTTGAAATGTATAGCTGTGCCAAAAATTAGCTGTAGAAAGCACCTTATTAACTTGGCGCCATATACATACTTATTTGAAGGGCAGAACCCAAAACTTGAGGTCAGTGATGGTTCTTTCCACTATACCATCTTGCCCTTGATGGTTCTTTTCATTACACCACCGTGGCCAGGTTGTCTTATAAAATGCATGTTACCTGAGAAGTCACCCTGTGTGAACCAGCACATTTCCAGACATTCTTTGCTTGGAATCCTACTTCACTTTTGTCCGTGTCCAGTCAGCCTGGTCAAGGCTGATAACAGAAACCTTTCATCAGTATCTACTCTGCACAGGGCATTGCTAGACTCTGTGAAGAATAGCAAGATGGATTCCCAAATCACCAAGACTCCTCATACTTTCTTATGTGTCTTTTAAATAACCTATGCCCATTCCCTCATTTGCTGAATATTTATGGAGCCCCTACCCAGTGCCTGGCCCTGGGATCTGTACTAGTTGTAGAGTGGCAAATAGAACAGCACAGAACTCTGATTTCAGGGCATCTCCTTTTGCCTAGACCTTCTCTAGCCTCTTTTACATACTTGGTCACTTTCCTGTTCCATTCCACCCACCACCAATGGATTAATCATTGTGAAAAGCTCTTGGGCCCTGATGGGGTATGCATTGCCTCAGGGTGAGGGGATACCCTTAGGGTCTGGTATTCTCACCTTTATTTACGTTGTCTCCATAGCTCCTCCATGGGAGCCACCCAGTGCAGCCAGGTTGATCCATTTGCCATTGCCTAAACAAGCCTCATGTGCCTCTGCTCATGTCAGTCCTTCTCCTGAAATGTCCTATTCTCTGCTCCACTGGCCCAAGTCATGCCCATCTCTCAAGGTCTGACTTTGTCAGCTTCACATGCTTCCTAGCTGATTATAATCTCTTCCTTTGAGAATGAAGCACTCATCATTTCCTTCACTGAAGGTCACATGAGGAAGACACTCAGGGTCACATACCATTAAATAGTGATTTTTTTCACTTTTTGGGTGTCAGGATCTTCACTGATAATCTAATGAAAGTTCTATATCCTATTTCCAGAAAAACACATATATGCAAATATATAAAATTTTACATATAAATTCAGGAAATTTAGAGACCTCCTGAAATTATCCATGGTTTCCTTAGGGGGTTAATGGACCCCAGTTAAAAAGTCTTGTTCCAAGGAATCTTTAAATGTTATCATTGTGTTTGTTCTTGTTTTTAACATAGCCAGAGAGAAGAAAAATTGGTACAGGCTATTCAGGCGAAAGTAATCTCTATTATTATCCATGTTCAGTGTATCTTAAGTCACAGAAAAGAAGAAAGAAGTGCTATCTTAGGTTATTTGAGAAAATACTTTTGGAGGTTTGGAGTTTTGAAGTGACAGGATTTTGTTGCTGTCGTTGTCATTTATCTTTTAACCAACCCCAAAATTGACTTACCAAAATGAGTTCAGGGCCAAGTGCACTTCATTTCAGCCCTGAAACCCATCACTTCTGCATGGATAGGACGACCAGTCTGGGCTGAAGGTGGGGGAAAAAAAGGCTGGATTTTTCTTTATAGGAGAAAGGTCTGCACAATCAGGTTTTCCTGTATTCATTCATTCATTCAACAATTGTTGAGTGTATTTTCAATAAAAGGTGGGTGCCTTTTGTTGATAGGGAACAACTCAGGTTATTCTTATTTCTTTCTTTCCTTTATTTTTTTTTTTTTTACAGAGTAAAGTTATTTTATTATTCCTGACTATGACCCAGGATCCTTTGTTTTCCTTTATATGCAGTGCTGTTTAAGTCATACTAGAACTGACAAAAGTACATTCAATGACAAATACTTCCGAAGCGAAATGCTGAGCTCTGGGAACCCATCTTTAACAGGTCCAGGGATCAATCACATGTGACTATGAAGTGCTTCCAGTGACCTTTATTCAGTTGCTTCCAGTGGTCCAGATATAACTTGGGAAGTTCAAAAGGATCTTCTTGGTGGGGAGGAGGGCGAAGCCTCTTGCCTGTAAGATTCTTGCTAGTGTCAGGGGTAGATGCAAACATACGTGGGATGTTTTCCTCATCTGAATTCCTTACCAGAAACTCAGATTTTTGGTCCCTGCCTTTCCAAGAATATCTTAAGGATAATAAAGTTTCCTTAATCTTTGAGATTAGATTACTGGAACCAGCAACGTTAGTCTTGTCCATTAGAGATGGTTATAGAGGGTACTGAAGCATAGATTTAAAAAAAGGGACTCAGTTGTTTTTGAGGGGACAGGGTGACCTCCTCAAACATTCTGCTTTCGCCAATGTAGGGAACTTGTCCCCAGATTTAGGCTCTCTAAAAATCCTGCTGCTGGCTGGACCATGACAAACTAAGATGCTCAAATTTCATGAGGATGATTGCCTTAAATTGTCAAATTGGTAGACAAATAAAGGGGACCATTGCAATAATAAAATGAATAACCTATAGATAATGGTCTAGCAGCACCAAACTGACCATTTCGGTGGGAAAACAAGTCATCTGGAGTAAAAGATGGATACAGTACTTTGGTTTTCCATACACAAATAATTTTAGCAATGAAGTTAATGGCCATCAGGCATTTTTGAAACAATCCACTAACTGTAAAGCAATATATATATATATATATATATATATATATATATATATATTTATAATAATCAATTAACTTTTTATAAGTTGTGTTACTAAATGTAACTAATTCACCTCCCACCCACCCCCACTGGCATGTATTTGTTTTTGTTTTTATTTGTGGCTGTGGAGTAGAGTAACTTTCATTTATTAGTAATGCTTAAGCTTTTTTCCTTTTTTAGTACCTTTTTGTTTTTAATTACCCCATGACTTCTAAAAAAAATAAGATCCAACTTCTGAATTACCATGTTATTTAATGGTGGCTAAACAGATAGCAGAGGGAATATAATTATTCAGTGAGGGCTAAAAAAGAGGAATGACTATTTACTATCCTCTTCCTCTTTAAAAAATAGTTGATGACTTTCCCCTTTCATATTTCAGAACCAGAAATGTTCTTTCATATTTGCTTCTCTTCTATAAGAGATTATATTTGACTTATTAAAATATAAACCATGTCCAAATGATTGCATTTTTACCTTTAAAAATTATATCTGGGATTTGTTTTTTGCAGAAATAAGGCTAAAGACTTCTGCTTCAGTAGAGGTGACATGTTTGTGTTATGGCTGTCAAAATGATTTTATTGCAAGTAATAAGCCTCGTGGGATCAGAACATGCTTACTGTAAACACATGTTTTTTTTTCCCAGTGATCTACATCATGCCAATGTTTGACAGCTCAAATGTTGATGAGGGTGATGGTTTCTCCATGGTGATGGCTGGAAAAATGAGGGTCTGAGTCCTCTATTTGGGGTATTAGAATTTAACTGAGTAGGAGGAGAGAAGGAAACAATAACAAATGTCAGCATTTCAAGCAACTAGGTGGTATGGCTGTGGTAGAGATGTATCAGGCAATTGAAAGTTTTCTAGATGGTGGCATCTTGCTAAAATAATGAAAAGCACAGGTTTATAAATAAAAAACAAATGCAGTCTATGTAGGGAAGGATTGTCTATGAATATACAAGTGAACAGTCCAGGAAATGTTGAAGTAACATTTGTCTTTATCTTAATTTCTACGCTTGTGTCCCCCATTCCCCTTCTGAGGCCAGGCCTGGGACCTTAGACAGCAGCCTAGAGGGTCTGGCCCTCTAAGTTTACTCTTTTAATTTTGGAATTTCCTTCTGGTCTCTCAAAAGTGCGGCATATTATCTTCCATTTTATAAATATAAAATGTACACAGTAATTTACATTTTGCTTTAGAGAAGCCCTTTAAATGTTTGGAGACAGCCCAGAGTATCCCTATTTAGGCAGTGGTCTCCAAACCTTTGTGCTTATTCACCCATCAGTAAAACTTTCTGAGCATGCCCCTCCATGTATTTATTTATGATATATATATATATATATATATGTATATATGTATACACTGCTGTATATGTATATACTGTTGTACTGATGTAAACATTAAAAACCATAGCAAACATAGAAATTTTAAAAGTATATTTTCTGGTCCACA